TAATGAGCTTTCATTAAGATTCTGCCTGTTGCGATTGAATTTTTGAACTGTGCAGTCGAATTGTTTCAAGTTCTCCTGTAAATTTACCATCAGATTTGTCAGCTCTGATTCGATTTTTTCATGAATGATTTGTTTTCCTTCTTCGTACATTTTTTTTTCCTAAACAATAAAAAATTCACTCTCAGTTCTGTGCGTGTTTAAACAGTACCAGTAAATAAATGTATTTTATTACTTTACGGTATGGTACACTGCTGTGTTTTATCGCTACGCTGTAAAGCAGTGGGACAACGGACAATGGACAAATTTTCCACCTGTGACCATCTATCAGCAAACGACGATGGATCATGCGACAAACCAACGCAGGAATGGTTCAATTACCTGTCAGCTTTGTTGAACGGTACAGTTCGGTATTTTCGACCTCGTACCGTCATATATGGAGGTGAACGACGACGAGGTTCTGTGAGGTGAATGGTTGCTATTAGGAAAGAACATCCATGCCTAAACGTTGATTATATCGCAGGCCGTTTTTGGTTTTCTGTACTTATGTGTCCAGGGATGAAAACGGCACAGCTACTACGTGCTGGATGGACCGGTCAAAGACCTGGAGACTCCCAGTGGTCTGAAGCAAGTGTCTCGACGGACTCTGCTCAAGACTCAGATGATCTCGTTCCAAAACTCCAACGCTGAAGCAAGCCCGCGTGAGTTGGAGACATTCTCTGGAATTGTTGACCATGCGATCGGGACGGACAAGTGACTTTTGGAACTGATGTGCCAACTGACCAACCGACCAAGTACTTCATCATCAAGGCAGCCACTGTATGTTATCAACTTGTTGTCAAGCTGCCGAATCACTCACTTGGTGCCCCCAGTTGTTTTCTAGGAGTGTTGAAGAATGTATTCTTTCGCATTTCATTGGCATTTATGTTCATATGTTTGAACCAGAATGAATATTTAAATAGGAAAATGTAAAGGCACTCTGTGCAGCTTTTAACACGTCAAACTTGGTCGCCGTTAACTTTGGAAGAAGATTCATGTAGGAGGAATTGCTAATGGTTATACGACATTGTTCACGAATAAACTGCCATCATGTTTTGAGCAAACTTCTAACAAGCCAGGGGACTAATGCTAAATATGACTTTCACTACAGTTGTAGGCACCATCGCTTCATCTGTTTGTCTAGAAAGTATGATGGGAAAATGGGAAGTTTCTAAATTTATTAGTGTAATAGATAAAGAGAAAAAGAGACAAGTCCGCGCCTTGCAGCTCCTCAAAGTTGTTTGATTGGGACTTGGACCAGTGAAATGGGGCGAAAACGTGCTGCATAAAAATAACAAATAAATTCATTGGTCAACGTCGGCGGAGGTAAGTACCGTCAACACCATACATTCAATTCAATATCTACATGATTTTTAACTTTTCATTTAAAGTAATATTTATATGTATAAACCTCTGTGTATCTTATTATAAATCTGATCTGCATACCATTGTCGAGAAGAATTGTCAATGAAAGAACCAACTGGCGGTAAGAGTGAATGCACTGGTTTGTATTCCAGTCAAAATTGTCTCCAAAAAATCAGCTCATACAACTACAGTAACCAAGGAATGACAGGCAAATCTAACAAGGCAAAGGCAGAGAATTGCACTGCAAACTCCCATGAAAAAATAACTATCAGATCTACGCCAAAGAACGGATGCGAAGATTTTCATCGCATCACTTAGCATCTTAACCTAAAATGACGTTCACAGGTATTTATTTTTGGAAAAGGATACTGCTTTAACACTTAATCGCCTTTGGAATCAGAAATTCTACCAATTTCTGAATATGTCATCACATAACAGAGAATCAAGAAGCATCAGAGGTGTTAGAAGTGCGTTTGTTCGGGAAAGAGGCGGCATATTTTTTCCACTGTTGGCATTTTCTACCAAGGCGCTCTACTGTAAACATTACCATTTAACCATCGTTTTCCTACTCGTTCTTAAACGAATGGGTGAGGCTATCGATTTTTAAAAGGCGTCAATGAGATATTCTGAATTCATTATTAGAAATATGCCCTCAGCAATTATTTATGCATATAGTAGCAGGAAACCGTGATGTTATGTTATTTAAGTCATTTGTTATTTTGCGTTGTGGCCCCCATTTGACCTAAACTTAGGATGTCTTGCGTTGAAAGCTGATCTAAACGTTTGCATAAATCTTAGACTGCAAACAATCGCTAACAATTCTCAATTACATATTTTCCGAGCCGTTATGTTAGTCAAACGTTTAATTGCAGTCCCGGAAAGTGCCATGAGGGTTCGCATATTCGTTGAACCTCGTACTCTTGTTTAGAATCCTCATTCTAATGCAGTACCGAATATCAGGACAGGGGTACGGTCAATTAAATAATTAACTAAACCTTTCGTGATTGGCGAGAATGGCATTCCCGGAAGAATCAGATATGAACAATGAAACGTCATCAAGTATGTGTAGCTGACAATTTGATAGATAAGATAAAACGAATGGGATTAGGAATCAGTCCAAAATTGAAAGGAGGAACCAAATTGCATCCGGTTTAGAAACCGACTCTGCACATTCCTCAAGGTAGTTCAATCTTCATTTTTATTTGTGCATTTTTATCCAATTAACCCTCTGAGCATCAGGTATAGACTCTCGAATAGACTAGCTCACATGCTATGCAGACTATGACACAGCTAATGGCGGTCAATTATTTGTTTGGTTTTGTGACCTCATGACACTTACAGCCATTTTATTGACAGTCATGGCACGAGTGATCTGATTTTCGACATTGTTCTGTAACTCTGACAGCTGCTCTATGTAAGCTTGTCGTTCCCTGAAAATCAATTTTTAGAAAAAACGATAAGCGGGTTGGAGTTACATAATTTTTGTAGTCCTGGTACACCTTTTCGTTGTGATGAATATAGTCGCCGATTTCCTTATAAATATCAGATATGAGTGACTTGAGCTCCTCAATCGTTTTACTTTGATCCGACGACGTGCTGCTAGTTTCGAACACATCTTCGTTGCTAAAAGAAAAATCGTCTATTATAACTAGAGCGTGAATATGCCAAAATATCGCCATATAACATTATATATGTAATATATGCTACAATACAAATGCTTCTCCATATATTCCATTGTGCCATTGCTGTCAGTTACCTAATACAATTTGAACAACGGCCGAAATTTGATGCATCTTGCCTCATTTTGTCCGCTTGTGTAACCGTGTTTCTCACTTCTTGTATTCTGCTGCACGAATATCAATGTTTCCTGAGTTTTTACGCCAGGATACTTATATTAGCATATGGCTGATCCAAAACCAGAATTTTTGGACCTATAGCCTGTTTCAACGGTTATCCAGTAAATCGGGAGCAACAAATAGTGTAACACATCGCGAAATTGATGATGCCATCATCGAACTTTTTCGATCCACTGCTCGATGAAGCCCTCTCAAAATTTGGGTTCTCTGCGATTCCCATTCTTCAATCAGCGAGTCTCTTACGTTCATCTTATCATCGATCTAAAGGTCTTCCTGCAGGGGGAGGGGATTACTGCCCGCTGTAACCCAGACCAATGTCTCTCTAATCCTGAAATTGTTGGCTGTTTTTGCAGCGTGCCCTGCTCATCGCCACTTCAGCTTTTCCATTCGAGGAATGACATCGTAGTCTCTTGCTTGTACTTCTGTCCATTCGTTCACCTACTTTTCTTTTCTTGCTATTTTCGACATAAATGCTTCTCTTTTCTTGCTGCTGGACAAAACAGATGGGAGTTATTTACGAATGTTGTGCGCCTTGAAAAATATGGATCCAAGTTTGGTACTTTAATCGGTACTGAGTGATTTAGAGCATTCAGTCATCAACGCTTTCCAAACATTCTGAATCGTGGGTACTTTTCCACTCTGGCCAACGCAACTACCGAAGCATTCACGCGAACGGTCTCCAGCAGAGATACTCAACAGATGTTACCTTCGCCTTAAAATCCGAATGCTCACTGCACCATCGTTTGTTCCAGTGCAACACGTACAGCGAGCATCTGAGGTCGTTTCAGAAGTGAACGATTACCCGATCGACACACAGGTGTTCATAGAATACCTCGAAGATACTGGACTGGCCCTCCAGGTTGACGTCAAGCGCAAGCGCAACTACGTCTCTAACATTTTGGAATTACTTTGATACTATCCATGAGGGCCCTACTGTTTAGAATGCCATGGAGAATTGCAATGACAATTTTCGCAAGTTACTGACTCGCACCATTCATTCATGTGCGACCACCATTCGTGATTGATCTGTAAAGTGAACACAGCCTGAACGAAACTAAGATCGAGCAGCTCATTGCATTCCAGCCTCAACCGCCACAAAAAAAGAAATACCCTGATTGAGCTCTTCGTATTGTCAGGGTAGTTGGTATATTCTGGCAGATACAACGAAGAACCCGAGAAAGCTAAGGCCAATACGCAACTTCTCGATTTGTTAAGAGACTTTTCACATGATTTTAATTATTAATCACTAATATCTCCTTCATGTGTTATGTCAGAGAGAATTTTAGTATTGTATGATATTGAATGTATTTGTGCAATAGTGCATGTAACAAATTGTGCTTCATGCATCTGTAATGAGTTGTATCTTTCTATTTCACGATAGTGGAGCCAAAGTGAATCCACGGTCCGAGGTTAGCAGAGCCATGAATCACTGAACTATTACAGATCGATCAGCTGTACAGTGAGCAAGTGTGTTCGAGCAAATTGGCGCGTACCTTTGTTTGCACTGGGAGCAAACATCGATCGAATTAGTACTCTTTCAAGCACAGAGATTTACTAGGTAAAAAAATTTTCCATTTTCTAACAGTGCTCTGTACCTTCTTCATTGTTCTTTTGATTTCACAAAGTCTAGTCCCCCTTGTAGAGGTCTTCTCGATTCTGTGGCTCCTCAAAGAATCCTCAATTCTGGTTTCCACACCGGTGTGGCAGTCTATCCATCCTGAATTCTCAATTCCTTCAATCAGCATAAAAAATAGTCGCGAAAATACCTTTGTCAGTGCTTTACCTCCTGATTCAGCGATTTCCACCAAAATGGCATCGTCGCCAGGAGCTTTTCCTCATTTCGTTTCTTTTATTGAATGTCGCACTTCTGGAAAGAAGTGAATTTCGCCTTTTTCATTTGTATATGCAGGTCATTGCCGTTTTCGTTATTTTGCAGTTTTCTATAAAAATCTTCCACTTTTTTGGAGAATCTCTCATATGTCCTGATGAGGTCCCATCTTCTGATATGAGAGTCAAAATTTGCCTTTTCCAGACCGTCAATGCTTGATTTCGCTTCTTCATACGCCGGTCTTCTTCAGTAATTTCCGTTGACAACCGGCATCTGAATGATCAGTGCCTTCCTTTATCAGTTTCCTTCATGTTTCGCGTTCCACTTATTTTATCTTCGATTTCTGACCTGTTGTTGTCTTCATTTTTTTCGCTTCTCGATGAGTTCTTTCCTTTGCTTTATGACATTACAGTCAGCCTTCACGATCCTTGTTCCGAGGATGCAGTTCCTGCAACTGCTTTTGTTTTGCCTTGATGTGTTGAATTAATGCCCACTTTTTTGACGACTTCCTTTTTTTCTCTTTTGTTTCTTCTTTTTGCATATCATTAACAAAGTTTAATCGGTTATTTAATTTCAGTTAGAACTTCCGGAGGGTTTTCTTAAGTGTTTCTATATCGAGTATCTTGCATTCTTCTTCAGAAATTCCCTTTCTTCTAAAGCTGAGTCCAGACTCACTCGCATCTGTCTAGCCTTGGATTGCTTCCTGGATTAAATGTGCTCAGCGTCATGAGTTTTTGTTCTGAGTTATTTACTTTTCTGCGAATGAAATTAATTTCATTCTTAACGTCATTTGGACCTTTAAAATCCATTTTATGCCTGGTTATTTTCTGAAAAAAGGCATTCATATAAACCTGTTCTTTTCATCGCTGGTCGTCCCTCTTTCCCATAAGACTGACAGGGCATTCATTTTCTAGCTGCGATCTGACTTTCTCGATGGAACTGCCAACTATGAACGCCATAAGATATGATGTGACATGTGACAGAAAATATAGCGCTAAGCGTGCACAAATTAACGATGATATAAACTGGCTGAATACATCTTAGTCTTACTTTCAAGTCAGTTTCAGGTTTCGGCTTAACCTTAGAATTTATCTCATCGTGGGTAACATTTTTGGCATCAACCTCACACTGCAAATATTTATTGACATGATTTAATTAAATTTGGATTTAAAATATTTACACGCATTTCCAAACGTTCTAAGTCATTCCATGGGTGCTGGAATTATTTGATCATAAACAATGATGTGGGTAAAATAGTGCTGTATTTGCTTACCGTTTGTTTAATTGGTTCCATTCGGTAGAAAACCGCCTTAACAGGTTGACATGCCTTGGACGACTTGGCCTGGCTGTTTCTTGTTCTTTTTCTTCTGAGGCAGCCTCTCGAGCTGATTCGATACACTGGAAGCCCTTGATAAACTCGCCTTTCGACACTTTGCCATCGTTGTCCGCATCCAGTAACGTTAGCACCTGTTCCGCTTGTTCTTTTGTAAACGTGGGACAAAGTCGCATCAAGTCTTCCAAACTCAGGTAGCCTTTCTTCATGCTGTCGCATGCGGTGAAGAGGTTCTCTGCGTCTTCTTCCATCCTCTCGACCTAGAAATTATTGCGTTATGTTAAGCTTCAAGGCAAGAGTTTGTGAACGTAATCTTCTCAATTATCTCATATAATAACTTACAAAACATATTTCGTCACATTTGGCACGTTTGTCATTTTTTGTCATAACAGTCTAGAGGCACTTCAGGCTCATTGAAAATCATAAGACACCGATCTATTTTTTAACAGGAACGTCATGATTCAACTATACAATGTGTGCAAGCCAGGTTCGGGATTAAAGGCCGAAGTTCTGAAAGAAAAGACAAAATTCGAATCTTCCAATGGTCAAGCTTTGAATATTAAGAAATAACATACACAAAACATATACATCGACGTCGTTGCAAGGGCGGGAAAATTCAAACGGCATGCGGTAGGAAGAACAGACTACGGCCTAACTAAACAAGATATTAGATTAGATTCCAAAGGGCATCAGTGACGTTATGAAGACATTCCGATCAACGGCAAGATGAACTCAATAGTTTTATTACAACAGCGCCTTTTAACATTGCAGGGGAGACAGTTTTACAGCACATAAAAAGTAAGATTTTCGTCCAACATCTGATCGATAAAAATTGCTACTGATAATCATTAACGACAACAGAGCAATATGCCAGAAAGCTTTCCATGTTACAGATACTTGGCGTTTGATTATGCTCAATACCCTGGTGTCGAAAATACGCCATTGCCGGATTAGAAAGGACGAAAGCCCCATTCAACAGAGCATTTGCTAGTCACATTCTGAACGGAGGAGTCAAACGGCGCAATGCCTCGGTACCACGTAAGATAAAATTTTACGAAAACGATAGGAACATATAGTCTGAATTTCGAACATCTCTTCACTCTGAAGGAAAGAACATGAGTTAGCTCATGAGTCCACAAGGTACCGACTGGAAATAGTTGGACTTTCGTCGACGAAGTGTGATGGACCTTGAATTTTGAACCTTTACGGTTGAATGCTGTTTTATTCAGGTGTCGACTCCACCACCCGAGCTCGTGACGTTGCTGATGTTCTGTCAGAACCCAACCTGGAAGAGAGAATCGTTGGATGCAAGCCCGTCAGCGAAACAATGGCAGTTCTCCAATTGAAGTTGCATCAGGCAAAAGTTTTCCCTTCATTACAAGATTGTCTGGCCAATTCAGAGGAAGACTGCGAGTCCTTCTTGGATGACGAAGAAGATAGTGCGTACGAAAAGCTTACTGCAGAATTCTTCTTTTTGAGGCGTGATTTCAATGCTCATGTCGGAACAGATACTGTAAAGTGGAACGATCTGATTGGAAAGTACGACTCAACGACCTCAACAATAGCGGCATGAAACTGTTACGGTTTTGAGCAAACAGCGACTACCGGCTATTGACACTTTTAACACAATAACGTGCCTACTATGGCAAAGCTTGTGCACATAAGTCGATGATCGAGCTGATCATCTTAGAGGCACTGGGCTAGCAAACGTACATCACCTTGCTGTTGGCTCCTTCCGCTGCAGGCAATCGGCTACCATTGCAGATCCGACAGAAGCACTAGAATATGAAATGGGAAATGTTTTCTTCTGTG